TTACTAAGGCACTGGGAGACAGGGGACACACAGATCCTTTTCCACTCAGAGCTTCCATTCAAATAAAGAGAAAGGCAATGACCAGAAAGCCCATGTGTAAACCAAATCATTTCAAATAGTTACCAGCACCAGGTTGTATAAAAAGCTGAGCAATGTGATAGACTGTCTGGGGCAAGAAGGGCACTACCATAACTAGAGTAGTCAGGAAAGCCCTTTCTGTGAAAATGACATGTGAGCTGAGATCTTATCATGAGAAGGAGCCATGTTTGTAAAAACCTGGGGAAACATTTCAGATTGAGGAAGGTCACATACACAGGTCTTGAGACAGCAATAAACCTCCTACATCAGAGGAAGAGTAATAAGGCACGGTGGATAGTGAAAAGAGTATACTGACTGAGATAGGAGAGGTAGGCAAGTGACAGGTTGTGCAGGGCTGTGTGGGCCATGAATTTTATTCCAGTTGAGATGGAAAGCTATTGGAGAATGTTAGCAGGGGAGAGACATGATCTGATTTGCATTTTTAGAAGATCAGTCTGGGTGGAATGTAGTGGGGGTGGCAGGGAGTGCTGATGGCAAGCTTGGAAGCAGGAAGACCAGTCAGGAGGCCATTGCAGTGGACCAGGAGCGAGTTGATGGTGGCCTGGTCTATGGACAATGAAGTTGGAAAAAATCGTCAGATGCTAGAGGTATTTTGAACAATTTCTGTTCATCTGTTTTTTTTTTCCCCAACCAACCCAGGACCTTTGTGAGGGCAGATGGCCTGTCTGATCTTTGGATTCTACACCCATATGCAGTTAGTCTAATAGGTGCTCAGTGCTTAGTGCCCCTCCACAGAGAATATGACAAGAGGAAATGGCAATGAGACTGAAACTTTAGCCTGGGGCAGAAGTTCTGGGTCTTCTTTCTAGTAACTCTGATGTACCTCTCTCCTTTTCCTTCTTTGTCCTTAGTGTCTTCTAAAAGAATCTAAAAATGTTTTGGGAGAGAAGAGCAGGAATTGTGAGTTCCCATTCTGTGTTAGGAACTGTGCATAACGCTTTCACATACATTATTTCATTGAAGTTAATTTAACCTTTATAAGAACATTTAATCCCATCCCTTCATTGTAGAGATAAGTAGATTAAAACCCAAAAAGGAAAGGGGACTTTATGAAAAGCAAAGTGGCCATAGCACAAAATATTCACTATTTGGAGTCCTACACAAGTCCCTCCCTTCACTTCACACCCTGATACCATTTACCTATGCCCACTACTAAGGTCTTTTTCAGAGTCTTGTTAATTGTTAACATTGTACAATGCAGCAAATTTCAGAATGAAACCTCAGGTCTTGAGAAAGATTTAGAGTTTCATGAAGTCAATGCAAGTGATGTTGAAGACCAGCTCTAATGTCATGTAATGTCCTTGATGAATGGGGATTTGGCAGAGATAGACCAGTTACCACTGGCAGAAGAGAAAATTGACCTGTGTAATGGCAGGATCAGGGCTTCAAAGAGCATAATTCAACTCTTAAAGGATAACAAGAGGTCCTTGCAATAATGGAAGAAACTCTCTAATTTTGGAAACACAAAACAAGACTGTTTATTATTGAGTTATAACCGACAGCACAGAAATACAAGGAATCATTAAAGAATACTATGAATAATTATATGCCAACAAATTTGACAATCTAAAAGAAATGGACAAACTTCTAGAGGCAGAAAACCTACCAAGGAACCAGGAAGAAACAGAAAAATCTAAAGAGATGGATTATTAGCAATGAAATGGAAGCAGTAATAAAAAATACTGATTATGTGATTATGATTGTGTGGCAAAAGTCGATGTTGTGCTCTCATGCACTCTGGTCAGGAAAATTATGTTATTTCCACAGTGCTTGATTCATTTTTGGTTCATTCTAAGAATTAGTGCATAGTTGCAATTATTTACACATTTTATTTTTTTAAGATTTTTAAAGTATTTTATTTATTGATTTTAGAGAGGAAGGGGGAGAGAGAGAGACATTGATTTGTTGTTTCACTTAATTGTGCATGCATTGGTTGATTCTTGTATGTGTCCTGACTGAGGATTGAACCCACAACCTTGGTGTATCGGGATGATGTTCTAGCTGACTGAGCTGCAAGGCTAAGGCTATTTATACATTTTAAATTGAAACAAAAATATTTTCCACATTTTCGATTTTATTTCTCAAGGCAAAATCTCAGTCAAACCCTTTCCTCCTTTTTCCCCTTCTCTGCTGTGAAATGTTGGTCTCTGCTTCAAGTGGATTCAGGGTAAGTGGCCTTTTTCTAGCACCACTTATCCTCAAATAACAAGAACTTCATGTAGTTCCAGCCTTCTCTTCATCGCATGATTGCCAAGCCTGGCTGCACATTAGAATCACTGTGGAGTTTGTTAAACAATGCTGAAGCTGTGACTCCAACGCAGATTAATTAAACCCAAATCTCTGCTGGTGGAACCAGAGTGAAAACTCTCCAGGTGACTCTGTTGCACTTCCAGGGTTGTGAGCCATTGCCACTGCCACCACCACCCCTCCCCTTCTTGTCCCCTGCCTTGCAATACTGAGGCTGGAATAGACTGAGGCTGTCTGCCGTTGGACTGAACTGAAGAGAGAACACCAGAGCCTGGTCCCAGGTCGAACGGGTCATTCAGAGGGATGACTGCAATGGTCAAAGGACAATGTATGGCAGGTACGACTACTTCCCTGGCACAGCCATTGGGCCCTTTACCGCTGCAGTACTATGAGTATGTAGCTTTCTCCAGTCCCCTATGATTCTTTTCTATGCCCAAGACCAAGAGTTCCTGACTCTCCTCATAGGCATGTTGGTGAAATACAAACTTGAATGTTATAGTAAGTATATTATGTTTTTTTAGTGTATGACATCATATCATCTTGTGCATGCATAATGTATGGATCACTGCCATATTCTAACCCCCCAGCACAGTACTTCACATATAGTGACTATTCAATAGGTACAGTTTTATTTATCATTATAATTTTTTTTTAGCAAGAGGGTTAGGGGGAGAAGAGTGAGAGAGTAACAGAGAGAAAAAGACATCCATGTGAGAGAGAGACATCAATGTGAGAAACATGGATTGCTTGCCTCCTTTACATGTGTAGGCACTCTGACTGGGGATCAAACCCACAACCTAGGCATGTGCCCTGACTGGGAATCGAACCAGTGACCTTTCAGTTTATGAGACAACAATCCAACCAACTGAAGCACACCGGCCAGGGCTCAATAGGTATGTTTTAAATGAATGCATGAATGAATGAATGAATTCAATACAGATAGCATGTAGTAAGTACCACAATTAAGGTACAAAGTGCCATAGGAATACAGAAGATGATGAGATTCTTTTCAGCTTGGGAGAGGGAGAATGTGAAAGTCTTTATAGAAGAGGGAGCATCTGAGTTGGACTTTGACAGCTGGGTAAGGCAGTGGTAGGCAGCAATGCAGAGAGGGCATTTCAGGCAGAAGAAACAATGTAAGCGAAGGGCAGATGAAAAGGTGCAGGACTCATTTCATGACTGAGCAGCAGTGAAATGGGGCTGGGACACACATGTGATATGATAGCCTGTGGTGGAAGAGCAGACTAGAAGGATAGGGTCAGAATAGAAAGAGCCTTGAAAGTCATGCTAAGAAGTTGAGACTTGATTTTACAGGCCACATGGAGCCATCTGATGTTCTTGATCATGGGTGTAACGTGTTTGCTTTACGAGGATGAGATGTACACATTATGGCAGCAGTTCTTTCAACAAAGTATTTCTGGAGGGTCTCCTAAGCACCTGAGCACACTGTGCTAGGGGACGTTGGATTGGAACTGGGGGGAATGAGTAAGAGATTACTTGGTAAACCATCTCAATAGTCCGGGCAAGAGCTACTGAGGGCCTGAACTGGCCAAGTGGCAGTGGGGGTGGAAAGGGGAAGAACTTGACATATATTACAGAGATGGAATTGACAGACCTTGGTGACCAATTAGGTGGAAGTGAAGGAAAGAGAAGACACATTATTATAGCAATAATAAACATCAGCATTTGAACACTCCTTTGTGCCACTGTTCTGCAAAGTGCTTTGTGCACATCATCTAATTCTCACAATAACCCTTTTGATAGATGAGGATACAAAGGCTTCAAGAAGTCAAGGAACTTGTGCAAAGTCAGACAAGTGGCAGATGATGGTACTAGGCTTTGAACTCATACATTCTGGTTCTGGACACCACTCCCTAACCTCTGTACTATGCTGACTTCTGAGGAGTTTGGGGACTTGTGTTTTCTTGGCAAAGAAACTCAGCAGTTCAGTGAGGACAGGTCCCCTTCTAACTCCTGCTCTCTCTTTTGTTTATAAGGAGGGCTCTGCCTGCCGCCCCACCCCCAGCAGTTCTTCCTGAATGCCTTTCCCTCCCAGGGTGGGAAGGCGGGCCTGGGGTAGGAGGTGAGGCTGGTACACTAGAACCAAAAGCTGTGACAAACATGCAAAACTGCTCATCCCCAGGCTACGTGGGGCCTGCTGATGTGTTTAGTCCACACAGAGGTCTGTTTAGTTTGACTCGAGCCAACATTTAGAAATCAGAGGGCTTTGTGTAAAAACCCTGTGTCCTGACATCCCCCGAAAAATGAAAAGATCTGGCAATGCTGGGCCCACATTCCCAAAGACAACCTGGGGCTTGAGTGGTCCCCCTGTACCCTGCATGCACCCTGTACTCCTCACCACATGCAATGCCAGAGTCTGCACTTGACCCCTACCTGGGCAACTTTACTACCACCTGATCCCTGCAGGAGGTTGAGTTTGTGATTCCCTGTCTAGAATGGCCTACTACAGAGTCCCCACCCCCATTTATGTTTTGAACACTTGAGCCATCAAGGGGGTCAGGCACAGGGTCAGCATCCTCTGGTCCCTCCTTCCCTGCCCCCCTCCCCACCCCTGCCATCAGCCATAGACTATTTCCTTGGCAGCAGTGCTTGACGCTACAGAACACAACCACGAAGGGAGGGTTATCATCAAGTCTTACCATTTATTTCTTTATGGGGTTAAACAAGAGCAGAGAGGCCTCTGCCCCACAATGCAACAAAACAGAAAGCAGTACACATACAAAGACTCTCACCGAAACACAGAGGCAGGGGAAGAGGGACAACTGAATCATAGCTGGGTGAGGGAGGAAGGGACAGGGGACTACTAGGAATCCAGCTTGGAGACTCAGTCATAGAAACTAGTGCAAGAAAGTCCTACGCATGAAGCACAGTGTAGAAAATGGCGTAAGAAAGCTGCCCGGCTCTGCTACCTATGGTGGAAGGCAGGGCAGCTTGAGGGGTGGTGTAAGATCTGGGTGGTGGGGTGGACAGGGACAGTCAAATGACTTCGAGGTGGAGTGAGGTGCCCCTTTTCCCCTGCCACTGGGCAAGGGCCTGGGCTGGTCTGAGCCAGGGGTCTCCTGGGCACTTGGTGAGGGGGAAGAAGGGATGGGAGTCTCCAAGGGTCCATTCCCTCTAGGGCCCTAAGGTCCCCCTTTCCTTCCCAGTCCCCTTTTCCCCTCCTGAGGATGCAGGAGTTAGAAGGCAGTACCTAGGGTCTTTCACATCTACATAAGCATCTCTGGAAAGGAGCCAGCACCTCTTTCCTTCCCCAGCTGAAAAGAGCACTCTAGGGAGTGGGTATGTGGCTAGGCCCAAAGTGCTGAGGGCCAAACAGGAGTGTGTGCGCAGGGCACATGGGTCAGGGGAAGGGGCACACTGTGAGAAATGAGGAAACTGGCAGGGGAGGACTCCACAGTCTCATGAAGTCTGCTTGGAACCCAGCTGAGGCCCTTGAATGATTTGCTCTCTATAAGGGAAGTCTCACCTTTGTCCCCCAAGCCAATTGATTCCAGCTGTTCCCTCCTGATGCCCTTCTTGGTTTTACTAATGTGGCTCTGGGCCCACCCTTCCCCTTCACATCCTAGAGCAGAGGCTCTTCTGGCACCGAAGCCCCTTGGTCTGTGCCAGGAACACCATTCTGGCTTCCTATTGCCTTTGAGACATTCCAGGCAATGTATCCTCCCACTCTCAAGAGATCAGCACAAGGCTAATGGTCCCCAGAGGGCTCTTGATGCCTCTTTTCTTGATCAACCCGCTAACCTGTCTAAAGAGTTCAAGTCTGTCAGGCAATGATGACAACAGCACATTCTTTGTATTCAGTGGGTCCTTTTGCCAGTTTCTAGATGTTCTCCAGCAAGGAGCAGGGGTGACTGGATCAGGGGACCCACTACAGGGTGAAAAGGGGGTCTGGCTGTTCCACAATTGGGATAGTAACCCATGGGGTCAGGGGTGGGAAGGAACGAATACTCTTTGGTAGGCTGGGGATGGGGACAGGGTGCGGATAGGGGAGGCTCATCTCTGGAAAGCCCTGGGGCAGTGCCACCAGGTTCTCCTTCATGGAGGCCTGGGCTAGGACGAGACAGGGGAATACGGGGACCCAGGCCAGGCCTGACCCACTTGGGCTTAAGTCCCTCCTCCCCATGGAGATCAGAAATGGAAATGTCTTTGGCCCCAAGGCCAAGATCTCCAGGGCAAGAGTGGCCCTTGGGAGTGTGTGCACCTTCTGTAAGATATGGCCCTTCGGACAGTGGCAGTCTGACATGTGCCCTCAGCCGTCTGTGTTGAGGCCGCACTCTTTCCCTAGAGGGCTCCTTATCCCACCCTTTTGGATTTTGGGAGCAGTCCTGGAGCCTGCCTCAATGCTGATCAGCCACCTCCCCAAAGCCAGGTAGCAATAACCTGTTTAGCTATCTCTCTGAGCCCTCTGTCCATAGCTCTCTTCTCCCCTTTCCCTATCCCACTCTCAGCACTCAGTCTGTCCCCCATTCCTACCCCTCACTGCCTGGGCTGGTGGTGCACAGTTGAACTGGGGTCCTGACCCAGCTGCGCCTGTGCGTACCTCACCTCCCAGTCTGGCACTTCCCACTGGAGGAGGGCCACTGCACCGTCTGCCGTCGCCTGTAGGGGTGTGGGCAGAAGGGAATTAAGGATCTTGGCAACGAAAGGAATGCAGAGGGGGGGAAAAGCTTCTCCCCTCTGGGCCCCCTAACATTTCCTGCAGGGCCAAGGCTGGGTGAGCAGCCTCCTTCCCTGGGGTCAGGGCTCTTAGCAGGGGTAGGCATGTCCAGCCCCTACTCTCCCCCTTTTCATTTGCTAAGCCCCGTGGATGGGGGCCTAGGAGGGGGTGCCTGCTGCTCTGGCCTTTTTCTCCTGGATGAGTTTTTCAGCTCCCTGGGGCCCTCTGGCCCTTCTGTTGGAGCTGCTTTTGGGGTGGGGATAGGTTGGGGACAATGTGTAGTCCCCCATTTCCCCAGCCCCCCATCTGGTCCTGTATCTCCCATGGGAGGTGCCCCCTCCCTATCCCCCTGGGGGAGCTGGAGCTGATGTTGGTGTGTGGTGGAGGTCTGTCCTCCCTCCCTGCCATCACTCTTCCCGAGTCAGGCCCTCATCTAGGGCAGGCAGTGCCTCCAGCCCCAGTCCTCCACCACTCTGGCTGCTGGAGAAGGACACCATGGTATGGAGGAGCATGAGAACAAGAACATAGAACCGGATCCTGCTGGGGCTGAGGCGGGAACCCCCAGAGACCGGCAGCAGGGAGGGCTTGTGGCCAATGCGGCCTGGGGGATCGTGGCGGGGGTGGTAGTGGCGGTACTGTTGGTGGTAGTGGTGGAAATAGGAGTGGTGGAACTGCTGGTGGTGGGTTTTGGGGGCCTCAGACTCCTTGAACTTCTTCTTCTCCGACTCACAGGACACCCACTGCACGTCACAGCACTTGCTTTCCGGCCGCTTGGGCGAAGTATCCAGCAACCCTGCCAAGGGATAAGGAAGGTGTGGTGGGGAGCTCAGGGGGCTGAGGCCTGTGCCTCTTCTAGGTTTTCAACACTGGCACCAACTGCTGTGGGAGCCATGTCCAGACTCCCTTCCCCCTACCCCTCACTGGACTCTTCTCTATCAGGGCCACAGATGGTTGCTCTGGGATGACTCCCCAGACAGCCATGTTTTAGATAGAGAGAGGGCCATTCGCTCACTGCCCCTGTTCCATTTGCTGTTATCCCAACCCGGGGACCTCACTGCCCACTCCTCCTCCAAACACTAACCTTTTTCAAACCTGACTTCCCTGTTGTCCTCCCTGCTATCACGCCCCAGACCTGCTGCCTGCCCTGGGCCCCGGCCTCCTCCCACCTCCCCAGGGCCCTGCCTTTACCTGTACAGATAAAGCCTGGGAGCCCTCCATACACCATTTCCTCATTGTCGGGGAGTATAAAGGGGCACCGGGTCTGCACCTCCAGGCAGTACTGCTTGCAGGGCACCCAGCGCTCACATTCCTGCTGGGTCACGCTGAAGTATTCTGAGCACAGCCAGGCCTTGTAGACAGCCTGTGGGAAAAGGAAAGAGTGTCAGCCGAGGTGTCAGCCCCTTCCCACCTCAGAGGGAAGGGATGAGGAGGGGTGAACTTGTAGTCTATGAAGGTGGGGATGGGCTCACCAACCCAACCCCAGGATCCAGGAGGAGAGAAGAAGGGTTTGAGTCACAACTGCTCCATCCTACCTTAAGATCCCTCATCTCATAGCCAGGACTCCTCAGTCCCCGAGGCTTCAATCATCCAAGACTTAGAATTTGTTCACTGGTAAAAATCACAAAATTATTCCTATGCCTGAGCTGGAAGTCGCCTTACCAATTATCCCATGCAACCCTACCATTTTACAATTGGCCCAAAGAGGTGTCCTAACTTGTCCGAGGTCACCTATAATGTGGCCAATTTTAGTTCTATTCAATTCAACAAACATTTCTTTGGCTGATGATGGTAATTCAAGAATGAGATCAAATAATCCTTGCTCTACCTCATTAGGGTGTTGTGTGGATCAAATACTATGATGCATAGGGAAATGTTTGGTAAACTCCAAAATGCAATACAAATATGAGAGGTTATTTTTAATAAAAACAGGAATCTGCCTTACTGGGCACCACATATACCTTTAAGCTCTACTTAATCCATGCTCATCCCTGGCAGGGTAGGGCACATGCCATGTTTCACTTGGAACCTTTGCTGTACCTCATAGGTGTACTTCCTGTCCCTTATCTAGCCCACTGCTGTCAGGTGCTGGGTTCTATTTAAGAAAGGTTCTCTGCTCTATACCCTTTGGCTATCATCAAGCCTTGAGTTTCTCAACAGCAACACTACTGACATTTTAGACTGGCTAACTCTTTGTAGTAGGGACTGCCCTGTGCTCTGTAGGATATTGAGTAGCATCCCTTGCCTCTACCTAGTAGCTGCCAGTTGCAACCCCACACCCTGATTGTCTCAAAAACATCTCTAGCCATTGTTGAATGTCTCCTGGGGAGACAAAGTTATCTCCTACTGAAAACCACTGACTTAGCTCCTTGCTACTGAAAGGTGGACCTGGGCCAGCAGCAATAACCACCTACCTAGAAGCTCATGAGAAGTATAGAATCAATCCTAGGCCCTGCCCCAGACCCAAGTCAGCACCTGCATTTTAAAAAATATTTTATTTATTTATTTTTAGAGAGAGGGGAAGGGAGGGAGGAGAGGGAGATAAACGTCAATGTATGAGAAAAACATCGATTGGTTGCCTCTTGTACAGCCCTGATGGGGGACTGAACCCACAACCCAGGCATGTGCCCCTGACTGGGAATCAAACCGTGACTTTTCAGTTTGTATGATGATGCTCAACCTACTGAGCCACAGTGGTCAGAGACAGCACCTGCATTATTTAAAAAATATATTTCATTTATTTATTTTTAGAGAGAGGGGCAGGGAGGGAGAAAGAGAGGGAGGAAAGCATCAATATGCAAGAGAAACATCGACTGGGTTGCCTCCAGCACGTCCCCAACCTGGGACCTAGCCCAAAACCCAGGCGTGTGCCCTGACTGGGAATGGAACAGGTGACCTTTTGGTTTGCAGGCCAGCGTTCAGTCCACTGAGCCACACCAGCTAGGGCAGCACCTGCATTTTAACAGGATGCCCAGGCAACTCTCACAATTGGGGTTAGAGCCCTGCTGACACCCAGTCACCATCTCTTCAGGGGCACCTTCTCATAGTTGCTCCTCACAGCAATGGTTCTCAGACTTCCAAGTGCCTCAGAATCCCCTGGGGCACCTGTTGAATATGTAGCAGGCCCCCAATTCAGCTTTAAGAGGATTGAGGTGGGCTCAGACATCTGTATTTTGAACAAGGGTCCAGGTCATTCTGCTGCCAAAGGCCTTTCAACCACACTCTGAGCAACATGGTCAGAGCATCTCACACTGACTTCAAACATTTACACTAAAATACAAGTAATTCCACTGTGAACATGAAGTCTAGCAATGTAATTCCATATTGGCCTTTTGCAGAGCCATTGGTGATGGGTGGTAATGGGCTGTGGTGCAAATCAACCCTGAAAGGAACAAAGCATTGCTTGGGACTTTGATATCTCACTGGCAACTGAAAATTAACATGCTCTAAATCTTAAAATGAAGCTCTTGATTGTTTTTTTTTTTTTTTTTTACTCTAAATCATTGTTCTCATCTCCAAGTCTTGACCATTTCAGGCCATGCCCACCAACTCAGGTGTCCAAGCTGGAATCCTAGGTATTAGCCTTCAGTCTTCGTTTTCCCTGCATCCCCACACATAGTCCATCCACAAGGTATACCAATTCTTGTTCCACTGCCACAGCTCTGTGCAGGCCACTGACATCTGTCACGTGGATGACACTTTCCTATCTGGCCTTCCTGCCTCTACCCCTTGGTCTTTCCAACTCACTGTTCACACAGGAGTAAGAGCAACCTCAAGGCATGCCTTGTGTCATGTTATTACCTTCCTTCAAACTCTTCAAAGCATTTAAGATAAAACCCCAACTTTTGACCACAGACTTCAAGCCCCTACATAACTGGGCTCCTCTGTCTCTCCAGCCTCATTTTCTACCTCTCACTTCAATCTCATCACGCTATGTCCACACGTGGAGTTTTCTTTCTTTTCCTTGAGGATGACCTACTTCTTCCCACCTTGGGGACTTGGCACATAGTGTTCTCTTGGCCAGGAATGCTCTTCCCGCTGCTTTTGGCCTTCTTAGTTCTCATGCCTCAGTTCAAATATCACCTCCTCAGAGAGGGTCTTCCCTGACCACTCTAGCCAGAGGCTGCACCTCATTATTCTTTTTTTAACTGTTCACCACAAGGATGACTTTGGCTGCATCTTTGCTTTATGTTTCTCTGCATGAAAACAGACATGGGCTTGTCTAATGGACCGTGTACTCAGCACAATATACGTGAAAACTGTGCTGATTGAATGAATAGGATGAATAAATGAGGACAGGACCCTACTGTCAGAGAAATTCCAGATTCATGGGTAGACACATTGAACTTGAATCTCTGCCATATGTGCCATATGATCCATACCATAGGACAGGTTAAACCACTGGCCATTGGAAGGGAGCAAATACAAAGGTTGGGGGAGATTTCAGTGAGGGAATAATAGATGAGCAAGGACTCACAGTAGGATTTTAGATGGTTGGGTAGAGATGAGACAAAACAGCATTCCAGGCTGAGGCAATAGCTTCAACAAAGCTATGGAGGTGAGTGAACTCATGGTGTGCTAAGAGAACAGAGAACGATTTTGTATGAATGGACTGGAAATGGTACTGATCTCCTGTGGATAGACATTTAAGTTATTGCCAAGTTTTCACTATTACAAACAATGCTTCAGGAAATATCTTTTGTACACATGTCTCTTGGATGCCTGCATTACATTTTATTTATGTGAACTAAAAATGAAATTACTGGGATAAAAGGCATGTGCAAAAGAATGAGAAGGGAGTGAAAGGAGAGTGGAAAAGGACACATGAAGGTAACAGGCAGGGTAGAAGACAGCTGGAGGGGTCAGAGATGGGGCCAAGGGTAGAAGAGAGTGGCTGTGGGGTAAGGGGGTAGAAGGGAGGAGGTGTATAAGAAAGAGTAGGGGGTCAGAGGGTAGGAAAGGGTGCTGATAACAGGGGTAGAAAAAAGAGGGTTAAGGAGAAAGAGGGGGAACACGAGAAGGAGGGTGTAAGGGAAGTGAAGAGGTGAAGTACAGGTGAAAGGAGACAAATGTAAGAAAGAGCAGGGGGTGAGGGGTGGGGGTAAGAGGGGACTGTGAAGATAAGGGCCAAGAAAGAGGGAATAAGAAAGATGAGGGTAAGAATGAGCAAGGAGAGAAAGGGCAGTGAGGAGGATGGGAGTAGTATAAGAAAGTAGGGGTGAGAAAGAGATATGAGGGCAGGAGGAGGGTAGGCGAAAGAAATAAAAGTAAGGCAGGAAAGAAAAGGAAATCCCTACAGCGGAGGGCCCTGGTACCTTAGAGACCCCAGAGTGCCAGGATGAGACTGTCCGCAGCCTCAATGCAATCTCTGCACCCTGGACCTAGAGTCCACCTCAGGCTTCACCCCAAACTGTGTGGAATCACTCCCTCTTCCACCGTAGGGGTTCAGAGGCCCCTAAGAGATTCTTCCTGAGTGCTTCCAGGTCAACATTTCTGCACCTAGGTGAGGAGGCTCCATTGGAGTTCCAGACCTCCCTTCAGGCAACTGCAATTAGTCTAATGACAAGCTGTGGTGGCTGTGCACTCCCCTTGTCTGCTCAGGAAAAGTCTGCTCAAGGAAAAAGAGGGAGGAGATCCAAGGAGGGAGAGAGGGCGGCAGAGGGTGAGAGGAGTGGCTCGACAGTGGGAGAGCTACGACCCTCTCTCAAGCCCCCACCAGCCAGAGTCACCATGGCAACAAGTGGGTGAGCAGATTGCCTGAGGAGGACACCAGGCTTGTGGGTGGTGAGGCAGAACAGGCAAGCAGCTAATAAGGGGAAATGGAGGAAGAAGAGCAACCAGGGGCCAAGAGGTAATTTAATTCCTAGGTCCCACAGACTGCCAGCTGAGGCCATTGCTGGCCCACCTGCTTCAGGTATGGCCTGGGGTCCTTCTCAGGTGAAAAGTCTGGCTCTCAGTGCTACCACCTGGGCAGTGAGCCCACTTCAGTCTCTGAGGCCCTCTTCCCTGGCCGGGCCTAAGTAGCTTGCCCTGTCTCATCAATGTTACAAGTGAGCCAAAGGCCGCTGGCTTGTTTGTGTAGGCACGGGGGCCCTGGGCACTCGTCCACAAGGACAGCAAGAGCCAGGTTAGGAAAGCAGTGGTGCTCTCTGGAGCTGGGGAATGCAGGGAAAAGGAAATGTCTTCAAACCAGACAATAGTCAGTTGAAAGACCCACTGAGCCAAGACTTTCCAAGACTCAAGACTCAGGCAGGGCCAGAGGATTGGTAATCTTTTGCTCTAGTTTCTTGACTCTGGCTGCATATTAGAATCACTCAGAGAGTCTTTTATTTTTATTATTATTATTTTAATCCTCAGCTGAGG